TTAAAAAAAATATATTTTTACTGATTCCAGAGTGAAAGGGAAAGGGCGAGAGAGATAGAAACATCAATGATGAGAGAGAATCATTGATCAGCTGCCTCCTGCACGCCCTACACCGGGAATCGAGCCCGCAACCTGGGCATGTGCTCTGACCAGGAATCAAACCGTGACCTCCCGCTTCATAGGTCGATGCTCAACCACTGGGCCACACCGGCTGAGCCATTTCTTTACATTCTTAAAAGGAAAGTACGGGCTGCCATTTGCTCTCTTGTAATAAAATCACAGTCATCCTTCGATGTTCAAGCTGTGCCACTGAGGACAAATGCCGGCAGGGGACCCTCCATGTGAGAGCTGCCTGCCCTGCCCGGAAGGGCTCCAGGCTGCTACGCTTTTTCACTTCTCATATTTTTTTAATAGTTTATCTCTCTCCTCCCTTGTTGCCAAGCTGTCAGTCAGCTGTCACTTTTTACTGCTGTCATGAGCCTGCCTTTATCACACCCCCAATTGGATGCTGCTAGTCTGTTGTCAGCTGAGCAATAAGACAATTGGGAGCTGGAACTGAATTTGCAATCAGTGGGGTGAGAGCACTGGAGGGAGATTTTGAGTTATGGGTTCTAGTTCCTGCTCGTCTTTATCTAGCTCTGTGACTACCAGGAGACACTTACCTTCTCTGGGCCTCAGTGCCTTCATCCATAAAAGAAGGAGGAGAGTGTGTGTGTGTGTGTGTGTGTGTGTAAAAGAGAAAGACACACAGATACGCAAAAAGAGAAAGAGGTCTTATCCGGACTTGAATCCTAAGTTTGTGTGGCTACCAGAAAGAATGCATGAAACTTTCCTGTGAGTTAACAGAATGCAGGGTGGGGTACCACTGACACTTAAATTGAAAAATTCAAGGACACATTTTAGTCATCACTTTAGTCAATCTCATTCCTCTGCTTTCCCTACTGAGCATCATCTTAAAACACTCTTCCCTTTGTTCCACAAGAGAATTCTCTCATTGTTGACCTTCTGACCCCTTTATCTTCTTTTCTCATTTCAGTCCTTGGCTCTTCCTCTACCAACCCTTTAAGTATTAAGAGTGCCAAAGGCCAGTCCAAATTTAAAGGGCAGGGCAATGATAAGAAGCCAACAACAAGTCTGAAAAGCAGCAACCTATGTGTCCCAGAAACCAACTGAAGGATGTGTCATAGTATGTCAATTACTGTGATCCGTCAAGTAAAATGAGGACTGAGAGGTGACCACAGGATGCAGAGACATGGAAGTCACAGGTGACCTGGACAGGACAAAAACCGTTTCAGTGAAGTAGCTTTAAGAGAGAACAATGGTAATGAAATTAGCAACAACAAATATTAACAAGTCTTGCAAGAAGTTTTGGTCCTGAGAGAAAGAAGGAAATGAGGCAGTAGTGGAAGGGAGAGGTGGACTCAAGAGAGAATTTTTTCAAAAGGTGTAAAACCTAACAGCATTTTTGTATGCTAATAGGAATGATCCAGAAGAAAGGAAAAATGATGATGCAAAAGAGAGAAGAAAAACTTGTTAGAACAACAGTCCTTAGGTTTGGGAGAAGGATGGGCTCTGACAAAGAGTGGAGTGGAGGAAGGGCCTCAGACAGGAGCAAGGCCAGTTCACCCACAGGACCGGGTGTGGAGATGGAGACCAGGCCCCAGAGGCACACAACTGCGTAGACGTGGTGGAAGCAGAGGACAGAATTCTCACCTGACTGCCTCTATTTTCTCAGTCATGATCTGAGGATGAAATTAGAGCCTTTACTATTAGATGTTTACAAAGGAAGGAAAATGCATGGTTAGTTATTTAAAAGAGGAAAATGTGGTATGCTTGCCAGGCAGATCAAGGTTCCATCTGAATTTAGGAGTCATGGGTTTAGAGTAGACCAATAAGTATGGCAGGATGTCTTCTCCTAATTAAATACAAAGGAAAGGGGGCAAAAGATTTGAAAGTATATGCAAAAGAGTATTACAATAGAATATTAAAATTAGGCTGGGGAAGAAGGAGGGGAATTAGGGTAAGAGAAGAATGAAAGTGAGGGGTTGGCTCAATCAATGGGTGGTAGGTTCTCTGAAGGTCAAAAGGCTGAGTCAGAGTGATAAAGAGAATAAATAAACTGATCTATTTATATGGCAGAGTAGTTTTCTCTTTTTTAAAAATATGTTTTTATTGATTTTTAGAGAGAGAGGAAGGGATAAAAGCATCAATGATGACAGAGAAACATCGATTGGCTGCCTCCTTCATGCCCCTTTCCGGGCATCAAGCCCGCCATCGGGGCATGTGCCCTGACTGGGAATTGAACCGATATCTCTGGGTTCCTGGGTTGACACTTAACCAGCCAGGCTCTCTTTTTTCTTTTTAGTACCTCTCTATTTTCATGTGCTCACTAATAAAGAGAGAAGAACACTGCCCTTTATATGCAGGTGACAATAAATGTGCTAGGTTATAAAAGAATGGGATGGGGTGTTAATAAGATGAACTCATCTCCATTGGGACTCTACTGTATGTCAGGCATTGTGCTAGGCATCTGCCACACACTAATTCATTCAGTCACAACATCATACCTATGGGGTTATAAGGCAAAAATAATCACGAGCATTAAAGAACCTAAGCTCAGGGTCATTTCACTTATACTAGTACAGGTCACAGAGCAACACGTATGTGCAACTTTGGTGTTAAAGAGATTTCCCATCCAAAAATAAATTCATATAATGAAACATTTTCCATTGAACATTCGTTCTGTATACTGTGTCCAGCTCTTTGACAATAAAGCAGTGGAGGGGGAGGAGGACATGAGGTCACAGCAGGTGCCACAAGCCAAATGTTACTGAATCCCTATGTGACAGACATGTTCTGTGTTTTAACAGTTATCCGCATTATAAAGCCTCACAGATTTTGCTGAAATATGGCGTTTTCCCTTCCCTGTTTACTATCCATTATTATATATTATTATAGCACATTGTATTAATAATTTAATTGTACCTTCTTCTTTGTTTTTACTTAAACCCATTTTTGCCATGACCAAATAATATTTGTAAAGGGAGAAAGATATAAGCATTCAAAAACTGTGTTTGTATTTTAAAATCACATTGGCAACTTTGCCTTTGGAATTACTAAGTATTTTTCAACATCTCAACAAAATAATACTCTTTTAAGACTGGAGGCATTAGAATGATTGTCATTCATGCAAATAATCACTTACTTACACTATATGAGTTTGTGTTGGATAAAGCAAATTACCATTTGAAAATAACTCAAATAACACTCTGGGCTAAGACCTCGCTTATGAATGTTATCTTGGCCACAATATTTCTTAACCTTCTTCCATTTAGCGAAATGTATTTATGGTAATACAGTATAAATTAATAAACTATTCAATTGCCACAGGTGTATTAAACACATAATGATGGAGGGATATGTCATATGCAAATGAATTTAAAACAGTATTTATTTGGAATTCTATAGCAGTAATAATTAAGATGTGCTATAACCACCTATTTATCTAAAGATGTATATTTTTACTTTATATTATATGAAAAACATAAAAACATGTCAAAAATAAGGTTCATATTTTAAAAATATGATCTAAAGTATAAGCTGTGTTTGAGATAATCGTGGATCTAATGTATAACAACTATATTTTTCAAAAGTTGAAATTTATCAGACATAAGAAAATTGTATTTATACAAATACATATTATACATACATATATGTATGTATCTGAAAATCAATGGTTATCTTAGTTTCACTTAGCTTGATAGTATTCAAAACTGTAAATAAACCATTTAATGTTTTTGACAAATGACCAACATTGACAGGAAGCTTGGACAGTACAAAAAAATGGAATAAAAATTCATAGGGCCCCAACTTTAATCTAGTCTGTGACAATAACCAGCTGTGTGAGTTCAAGACAATCTCTGCCCCCTGGGCCTGCTCTCTGAACTCTGTAAAGTAAGGACTGGGCAAGGTGCTCTAACTGAAATTGTATGACTCACTCATTTGACTTGGTATTAGGCATATTTTTCTTCAATGAAATATTTACTAATAAGAAACTCAAATAAACCAGCATTGGGGTGTGGATGAAGACAACTGTCTCCATAGCAAAATCTGGATGAGCTCTGTAAGTCCAGAACACAGAGAGTACTGCCTGCATAGCACGGATGGACATTAAATCGTTTCCTGCCTTCATTTCAAGGATGGGGAAGAGACAGCTGTCCCTGAACTCTTTTTGAGGACACAGTCAGTTACAAAACAGCAGCATCCCCAGCTAGTGTGAATCCCACTGAAGCAAACTTACTATTCACAAGGGAGAAATACTTCTGGTGGCAGTAAAAACAATTTTGCTAGGTTTAATCAAAAGTGAAAAGGAATTCTAAAATGTTCCCTTTGAGCCACATCATCCGTTGCTAATTCAGGGTGGGCCTAGCAACCAGGGTAATAAAAAATGTCCTTAGTAACTGAGAAAGAGAAATGGCAATTAAGCGCTTTTGTGACCCAACACAGAATACCCAACTCTCTATTAAGATAATATAAATAATAAAAAATGGAAGAAGGGAAAAAGTGAAGAAAATAGCATGGAAAATGAAAGTAATCCAAGCAGCAAACTTTAGCACTGATTTACTTAGAACAGTTATTATTATACATATACATCAATGGATATAAGCTGAATGCAAAGGTTGAGAAATAGGCTTGATGATGACTTCTTTAACAAAACAACAAGGAAAGAACCAAAACAGTAAGTGTTAAAAGTCAAAACAGCTTGTTTTAGCAAACAAATAAATAAGATAAAAGAAAGGAAGATCTCAATATCAGAAGTAACCATTCAGTGATAGGTCGGACAAATGATTATTTAAAATCTTTGCAAATCACAGCATGGTGAAATGGAATTCGATTCTCTAATTAACCATGCTTATGCTGAGAAGATAAAATTGGCAAGAAGAACACCAATTCCTACACAGTTGGGAAATAATTTGACAAACAGAGTCAAACGTACTGACCTGCTCACATCAGGAAACCTGATGGGATAGTAAATAACTTGGCACTTGGGTCTGATGATGCTTTCCAGATCCTTGGGTCTGTGGTCAGGAATCAGCTTCATAAATTTCCCAATAGAAGTGAGAAATGACTCCATATTAAAAAGAGAGTTGAATACCACCACATCAGCCACCAGGCTATAAAGGGAAAGGATAAATACAAATGATGAGCCCAACAGAGTTTACACTGCACCTTGGGCTTGCAAAAAAAAAAAAATACTCTGCACTTCCATAAGTAGTTATCAAAATGCCTCTAATAGATAAGTTCATTTTGTTATATTATACTAGAGGCCCCATGTACGAAATTCATGCAAGGGGCTTGGCCCTCGCAGCCCCAGCTGGCCCTTACGGCCCTGGCTTCGTCTGGAAGGTCGTCCGGATGGTCATTTGGCTGTTTGGTCTAATTAGCATATTAGCTTTTTATTTATATAGGATCATGGGAAGTTAGATTGTTGGTGTCAGGATGAAAGGCAGGAGAGGAATTAAATGATTTAATGCTTTCCTGTGAGGCTTCAAAGCCAATTATATTCTTCTACAATGTCAGGAACTTTCTATACTATCAATAGCAATAAATACAGTAGGACCTTTTGCTTTGTGACCCAACCACCCATGTTGGTTTCTCTGTCAGTGATGGAGGTTGTTTTATACCATACTACTGAGAACAGAATGTCTGCCATATTTTTCACTACCTTCAAGGGGACTAATTGAGATAAAGCTGTTTTATACTAGAGCATACCTTCAAAGTATGTGGTTGAAGTCTCTTTCTTGTTTTAACCCTTGCTTCAAGAAACTTTTTAAAGTTCTGGGCTATACAGGAGGGATCATATGGGGTCTCTACAAATAATTTCACCAAGATATTTGAAATAGTCAGAGAAGTAAAAGAAATTGGTAGAAATCATTACATAAAGGAACTCATTATAAAGAATCATAATACCATGGACTTTTCATAATTAAACAAAAGAAATGCAATATTGGCTACTGCTTTAGATGAAAGACTGTGCTCCTCCCCATAATATTTTTAAAAAACAAAAAGCAATCTGAAATACATAGCTATAAGGCAACGTGAAAACAAAGTCTGTGTGTCATAAATACATGAGCAATTTTCAGAATTTTCTATAACATATTCTTAGAAACCAATGAACACAAATGATAACCATGGATGAGGGCAGGATAAAACATAAGTACAGGGTGAGGCAAAAGTATGTTTACAATTGTGAGTACACAAAACACAGAGTTTATATTCTTGTGTTATTGTATTATTTTCCATATGAACAACTGTGAACCCACTTTTGCCCCACCCTGTCTATAGTATAAATATGTACTATGTTCCCTTTATGCATCAAAATACTGATTTCAGAGATCATTGTTTTGATTTTTTTAAAATGGCCCTCTTTGCTTTAAGCAGGGGATTTTCAACTGGAGTGCCACAAGAATTTTTAAAACATGCAATATCTGACTATTTAGTTAGGGGTACTGACCTCTTTTCCCTTAGATTGTCAATTAAAAAATGACAGCAGCCAACACAGCAATAGCTGTCTGGTGTGATTGAATCAAAATTATACCTATTTTTTAATCATATTAGCATAAAATATATTTTTGGGTGTGCTGCAGAATTTTAGTAATTAGTTTTTGTGTGCCATGAGATAAAAAAGGTTGATAATCGCTGTTTTACCTAGTAAGCAATGAAACGGTGTCTCAGTGTCACCGGATCTCAATAAAATGAATACAAATGCTTTGATATAGGATCCAATAGAAAAAACAGTTTTACTTCACCTTTAAAATGGTAGGTAAAAAAAAAAAAAAAGACTGAAAAGAGACATGCAAGTCCATAGACTGCAAAACACAGATGAATAAGCAGAGCTTATAGAAGAGGAATACATACCATAGCACAGCCTCAGGTTAGTTTAATTCACATTTACTGAGACAGCTAAAGTTCCTGTTATTAATATAGAGCGGAATAAAAAACCAACAAAAAGAATGTTGACCTGTCACCCCTATGCCTGCCTCACAAAACTGCTTTCCCATACAAGTTATTTTTTTTTTTAGTTGTGACCTAGTGCCAATTTGGGGATAGGGGTGATTACAACATGGATAATACAAAAGAATGTCAGAGAAGTGCTGACACAACACCAAGCAATAAGGAAGCCAATATAATAATATAGCAAAAGTTGAAGGATGTTTTACAGCTAGTCTGTTTTCACCATATGTCACATATTGTAATAGCGACCCACAGGTCATCATATATAGTTGCGACATGTGTTCGTAAGTCAGAGGGTTAGTGAAACCTCTATTTAAGGTGAGTGCTTATGTCAGTCATCTCTAAAGTCCTTAACTGCCACACGGCCAGGAAAGAAATCTCCCAGTGCCAACAAAAGCAGAAGTCAGCAAGAAAACTAGAGAAACATTTGAGGAAGCGGGAGTCATATGTTTCAAAGAGAATCTGAACAGGACTGCTTCCTGACACTCTTATTTTTCCTCTGGATAACTGTGAGCCATTTTTTTCTTATTAACAAGCCAACCATGATCAAGTCCACTTTTTTCTCTCCAAGCATGTCTAACAGTTTACCCTCTTGAGAAGAGCAATGCTGAAAAATCATGTAGGAGTTTTTATAGTCTCATTGCTACAAGCAAAAACAATCTTTTATGAAAGAGAGAGATGAGGGGCAGTAAGCTAAATTTTTTTTTTCAAATATCCGCATACAACCCAACTACTTACAATCTTAACACCCAGTCTATGCTAAATTAAAGATCCAAGATAGTTTACAGAAATACTCTTTTTCATGCATTTCCTCCCTGATATGAGTGAGTGTAACTTCCATTAACTTTAAAGCCACCCATAAAGGGAAAAATGGGCTTAATTTTTTCCCCCAGTTATTTCTCAAGGGTAATAAACACACACTATCTGAGGAAAAGAATGATGCTAATTCAAGAAATCAAAAGAATATTACAAATGTTTTCCATATTGATAAAGCACAAAATGATTTTATTTTTGTTTTTAAAACATATTTCCCTTCTCTGTTTCAATATAAAAGAAAGTATTTTAATTTTATTATGAAATTTTAAAATGGTTGCTTTTTTATGAGACATTTGATGGGAAGCAGTTCCACTCTTTTGATAGCACTGCTACTTCACAATTGAAGCAGCTTGTAAAAATGATTGCAGAAAAGCATTTACAAAATGCTCAAAACACAGACGCAGCGCCATAGAGCTGCTTTTCTATGTCAACTAAACTATGGACTATACTTGCAAGAGTTGAGAGTCTCTTTAAACACATCAACAATCCCAATTGCTAATAACTGTTTAAAAAGGTGAGTAAAAATTAGCCATTCACAGCCAAACTTAGTCAATTCGATTGTTGCAGTTGTGTGAATAGGATGCAATAGCCAAGCCGTTTCAGGGTTGTTATTCACTTCTTTCATTAAGTAAGCTTCAGGAGATACACTTTGTTGAAGTAACAAGAGAGAAGGACCATCACCTTTGAAATGTCATGGTATTTTAAGGCAGTGCAATTTCAGAAGACTCAATGAGGGGGCGAAAAATACCAACAACTACCTAAAGATTCATTTTCCATAGTTTTCTCTTACAAATTATATAAAAACAAACAAACCTCCTTGCTCCATTATGTCTTATTTTTTGTTTACTCCTCTGAAAATTTCTATTTTGATTTTAGCTGGATTCATTGAAAGTGGTTGGCAAAAGAGCAGGCTGACTGCCCTTTCCTGAAAGTATGTCTTAAACAGCAGATGAGAGAATCAGGAGTGAAGAAGGTCCCTGTGAACCCGTTGATTCCATTGTGAATGTTGTAGAAAGTAGATAATTAATTCAACATATTAGATCTTATATACATATACATATGTATATATTTATTTTATAAAAGGATTAGCTGTGATCCTATACATATATTGCAGAGGCACAAGTAATTACTACCATGGAAGGTATGTTTAAATAAACACTGTACCTATCTTAAGGTGTTTTAAAATAAGGGTACATTAGGTCTCCAGATTTAAAAGCTAACCATCTATCAAGATAGAAGTAGCAAAGGACTAAATATCATGATACAGTCGATACCTACCATGAGAGAATTTGGTTGTATCCATACTGGAAATCCCTCTCCTGACATTTCTTGACAGGATATACCAATTGGTTCTCGTGGAAGTAGAGAATCTTTTTCAGCTTCCCAAGGTCAGGGCGAAGGGCAGCCAGTTCAGTCAGGTTAAGCACTGAGCTTGCAAAGAGGGTCCTAGGAAATAAGGAAATGAGGGTTCACTGTCCAGAGCACGCTTGATGGGTGTCATCCTTTGCCCTTCTCCCCCCTCCCCACATCCTACCCCCAGAAAAACACGTGCCCTACAGGGACACATCAATAGTTAAGAATTAATACCATGTAGCAGCATTCCAAGTCTTGATCTCTGAAAAAAGCAGCTGCTAAGAACTATAAAAGCTCCAAATCTCATTGGTCTTCTCAGCTCAGTTACTGAGAGATGCAAAAAAAAAAAAAAAACCTGGATGGGTTTTATTGAAAAAGGCAAGAAAAGCTCTATCTGAAGGACAAATGGAACAAAGATAAGGCTGACTGGGGAATACTTGGCTTGCCAGTTTCATTACACTTTACTTCTTTATGCAACCAACTACTGAAATTCAATATACAAGCAGAGATGGCACATGCTCATGTTATGACATAAACCCTTTTGATTTATGCAATAGACTTATCTAGTGTGGTCTTTTTCTCTTGGTATGTTTTCTCACCATGCCTCCCCCCCTTCTTTTAATGATTCTGCAATATTTCTGGGTGGGTGGGGGGTGCTAATCTTTTTTCTCTGCTACTGGACTACTAGTGGCACCAGATATACAATTTGTAAAACCCCTTCTAGATCACATAGATATTTAAAAAATGAAGAAAGGCTGATTGATTCCCTTTCTTTGGGGGAGGGGAGGAAACTGAAAGCTTACCTGCCATGTTTATAAAGGAAAGTGTCTATCAACTCACTCCTTCCCCAAACACTTACTAAATGCCTACTACGTGGCAGGGTCTAGCCAGGAAGAACAGAAAAGACGGACAAGGCTGCCCACTGCAATGAATGCTGCCTGTCATAGTGACGTACACAAAGTACTGAAGTTACAAACAGGAAGGAGAGAGAACTGTCTGGGACAACCTGAAAATGTTTCACTAACGAGGTATCTACCACGTATGGACACAGGAGGTGCAAATTACAGTCCCTGAGCAGCCAAGTACATTTAGATGGCACAATTTTGATGGAATACCACCTTTATAACATAATGCAGCACCATTTGACCCTTGCAGCTTTAATTCCCAGTCTAAAAAATGAGGTTCGGGAAGGTTATGAGTGTTCCTGGAATCACACTGTTGGAAAGTGGCAAAGCAGGGCTCCCGGTCTCTCAGCCCCAAGTGCTTTCCATTACGCCAGGGACATGAATTGGTCATGGGCGAGTTACATTGCAAATGCATTTTTCTGTACTTAATAAATACAAAATATCATCCTTGTTATTACCATGATTACAACTCCTATAAATCCGCCCTGGCTGACAAGCCAAATGGCTAACTTCAGGTGTTTATATGATCTGCAGCACTAGCCTTTCACATAAGAAGAGTGATTACATAATAAGTGCATGTATCATAAATAGGAATTCAAGTGTCTTCTTCATGGGCTACAAAAGGCACATGATCAAAAAGCAGTGATCTCAATTTTACACCCACATTGCTATATTAATGTCATGGTTTGTTGCTCTAAAGTAAAAAAAAAAAATTAAAAATCTTACAAAGGAGATACACTATTGTTTAAATTGTCTCCGCGTACCTAACTAAAGCAAAGAAAAAAACTATGGCCAGAAAATGCCCTATTTTCACCAAAAATATTCCCACCACCACCTCGTACAAGTCTTTCAAGAACTAAAATTGAAAATTCTGAAATATGAAGGTATTTGCTTATCTACAAATCTTATCCTTAGTAGAGAGAACAATAAAACATTAATCTCAATCAATATTTTCTTAAAAGAAACTAGATGGCCACTTGTGGGTCTACTTATTGGAAAATTCTCCCCCTTTCCCTGTATCCCCACTCCCAGCCCCAACATACAAACCCATTCTTAATCATTAAGACCTGAGTAAGTTCAACATTTTTCACACACAAGGTAGAAAAATTCATTAAATGTGGTCCCCTTATTAATTGTTAATTACAAAGAAAAAATGGTACCTTTAAAATGGAGAAATTTGGTATACATGAATTTATCCAAGTGATCAAACTAAATATGACCTAATGGGACAAATTCATATCTTATATTTCCCAATACAATATCCTGAGAAAGATTCAAATCACCAATGAGAAAGATACAAATCTGCCAGAAAAGCCTGATCTGAATTTGGTCATGAGGAAACGGACACATATCTTGCAAAATAACTGGGCTGGATCTCCAAGAAGGTCAATGTCATTAAAGAAAAAATATATATATAGATTAAAGGAAAATAAAGAAACCCCAAAGCAAAATGCCACTCTGATACTGGATAGGGAAAAAGCAGCTATAAAGGAATTATGCAGACAACAGGGAGATTCTGAATATGGGCTGAATATAAGATTGTAAATTTTCATCAGGCTTAACTTTCTTAAGTTTAATAATTTTAATGGGTTTATATAGGATATTATCTTTCTTTTTAGGATGACTGTTGAATTGTTTATGTGTGAAGTTACATGATGTCTGCAACTAAATCTTAAATTGTCCAGTCAAAAGGCTACTAATAATAAGTATTCATATGTATATATTTACATAGAGAAATAAAAAATGTGCAAATATTAACAATTAAGTGATTGGCATATTGTAATTCATTGATCTAGTCTTGCAAATTTTTGTTAAGTTATACATTATAAAACTACAGTTCTGGGGAATATGCACAAAATGGCCTTAAATAGAAGGGAAAACTATGCTACATGCCATAAGCAATAAATCCATCATATATGCACTTTTAGTCATAATCCAACTGTTAATTTCCCACATGAGAATTATCCTCAGGGTGGACCTGAGAAATCAGTAGAAAATGTTTAACCAAGGTGAGTCCTACTCCTACCACACCCCTCTTCTCATCCTACGAGCTGATCACTGCCTTCCAAGTCAAACTCCCAAATGAAACAATGCAATACATTCAGAAATGAAATGGCAATGATTTTCAAAATATTAACCACACCAACACTTCCTGTAGTTTCTTCAGTCATTAACAGGAAATTCATTATATTTTTATTGCTGATCTTGAAATAGTCCTCATGCTCCTAATTTGTGGAAATTAGCTCTATCATTAGTAAAACAGGTCTCTGCTTTTTCACTTGTAAAGGGTAGTTAAATTGGCCAATAAGCAACTCCTCAAATATTCAGCTGGATGATTCCCCAAAATAAGCAATGAATAAGCCCTCAAAAGGAATGCAGGTGTGACTTATAGGCAATTTTCACTTTGCTTCCTTCCATCAATTAAAAAACAAAGTTTACAATCATACAATGAGTGACAGCACTCCATCAGCAGCTAATCCCTTGGCTCCCCACATTCCTCTTGCCTCAGGTATTATTTAAGCAATAAATCCTAGCAAGGTGAGCTTTAGCATCCCACACTGCGAGTCTGGCAGGAAGGGGCACAAGGTGATAGTGAACACCAGTAGGAACAAGATAATTCCTGACAGCTGCTGCTTGAGCACACGTTAAATTGAACAGTTTATCTCAGCGTGAAGATGTTATAAGGTTTTATGTTTAATATTTTTAAATTAACATAAAACCCAGAGAAAGCAGTTGGGCAATCTTTCACAAACATGACAAACTACAATCACTGCATAAGCTGGATTAGTACTTATTACCACGCGACTACAGAATTAAGCTGTTTTTAGACCACCAAAGAGCTTTAAATTGCAACTTTTGTCTCTGTAAGAGAAACCTATATTTAAAATGTCTGCTAAATTCAAATTGGCGGCTACATCATTAAGTTACCACCTCACGAAAAGTGTAAGTAAGCCACTATTAGAATCCAAAAGGCTCAGGCTGCCGGCACGTTAGCACCTTTCCATGTATTTGGGATTGTGTCCCTACACATGGTTCGATTGTTCTCAGTGCCCATTATATCTGCCATCTGAGTCATATTTGCTTGAGAAATACAAAATCATTCAACGCAGTGAAATTCAACATTCGAGGTTGTATCCTTTTCTTGAATAAACTGGTTGCTTGCCTTTCACCCTGCTGCCTTAATATGTAAAAAGAGATGCTAAGGTACATTTAAGCAATGTAGGAGTGAGGACACTATTATCAGGATGCACAACTCTGTATCTTAAAGGAAATGGAAAAACAACGAAAGGAGAAACAGAGACAGGCATTCAGTATTCAACCACCACGACACATAATCTAGTCATACTCCCTCATTCCTCATTCCTGCCCCATGAAATCTTTTCAACAGCTGCCCTACCCACTCACCCCCAACCACTTAAAACAAATCAGGATATATTACACAGGTTGACACAGATACCGGTTTGGGTTGTCACTCATACTGAATGATTCATTGTAGGGCTCCGTAGGCCCTGGCCAAAAGAGTCAATTCCGTTCTTCCAGCTGTGTGGCTTCACTCAATGCCTTGTCTAGATTCACATTGCTCAGCCTCATTCCCAAAGTCTTTGTTCTTTTCTGATTCCTGTCCCTTGATATCCCCTCTCCAGGACTGTAGACCCTGTACTTGCTGTGATGTAGCATTTTCTACGATGATGGAAATGTTCTATATCTGTACTCTCTAATATAGTAGCGACTAGCTACATATGGCTATCCAGCACTTGAAATGTAGCGAGTGCAACCAAGGAACTGAACTTTAAATTTAATTTAATTTAATTAACTTAAGTATAAACTAAATAGCCATACAGTAATGCCTGCTGTGTAGGAAAGCACAGCTCTGAAGGGACCAGCTTGACTTAACCTAACACTCCACCCATGGCACCTGAATGCATTTCCTCACTTAATTGATCTGCTTGTACAGATCCTTGACTGGATTCTAGTAATCTAATTGTGAAGTTCCTCCTGGCCAGGCTCTCCAATTCTGGAATGACACTATTTCCTTTTTCCTTCTGATAATTAGAAAACACATATTCATTGCAGAAATGTTTTAAGTACAAAAAATATATATAAATTAAAGAAATATCACCCACAACCACCCCAAAAAGAGATAGCCACTATTTGCATTCCAGCAATCATTTAGCCAATTGTATGTTG